GGCCTCTTCTTTATCCCTCTGTCTCTTGATGGGCATCTGGGCTGATTCTGTACCTGGCTATTGTGTATGGTACCACATAAACAGGGGTTTGCAGGTCTCTATTGCATGCTGACTTTTATTGCTATAGCTGGTCATATGGTAGGTTCTATTTTTTTTTTTTTGCAATTTGATACAATGAATTTTGATAATAAAACTACTAGTACATGGCATAAATACATATACAACAGCATGTGACAAAAATACAAAATATATTTCACTTTTGTACAGAAATATCCACTACAGGACTTTTTAAGATTAGATTATAATATTATAAATAAATTTGCCAGGCACAGTGGTGCATGCCTATAATCCTAGTGGCTCTGGAGGCTGAGACAGGAGAATTTCAAATTCAAAGCCAGCCTCAGCAACTTAGCGAGGCCGTAAGCAACTCAGTGACACCCTGTCTCTAAATAAAATATTAGGGGAAAAAAAAAGGGCTGGGGATGTGGCTCAGTGGTTAAGTGCCCCTGGGTTCAATCCCTGGTTCCAAAATAGAAAACAAACAAACAAACAAACTACCGCACACAGGACCAGTGTTCGATAAATGGCAACTACTGTTTTGGGGAGGCAGACAGGCTTGGGAGTCACTCAGGTCTGGATGTGAATCTTGAGTGGCTTCTTACTGCCCTAGGAAAGTGGCCTGTTCGCTTAGGACCTCATAAGCCAGGAAATTGGGCTCCGGTGGCTTCAAAAATGCATGATTTTTTACTGAGATAATCATGTTTAATTCTCATTTGCTTGTCTACTCTTCTAGTGACTTATTTTTTCCTGTGTGCTTGTGATTGTATTTGTCTTGCTTCTTCTTTTGAGTATAGGATTCCTTTAAGTATCTTCTGTAGTGATGGTTTTAGTGGTCATGAATTCCTTCAGTTCATATTTATCTTGGAAGGCCTTTATTTCATCTTAAATTCTGAAAGATAACTTTGCTGAATACAGTAATTAGATTAGCTGTTATTTTATTTCAGGACTTGAAATACATAATACCATATCCTCCTGGCCTTTAGTTTCTGCTGAGAAATATGCTGTTATTCTGATCTGTTTGACTTTATAAGTGACTTGGCACTTCTATTACAGTTTTCAATATTCTTTGTTCTGTACCTGGGGCAGTTAATATTGTCATGGAGAGGTCCTTTTCTAGTTATTTCTATTGAGGGTTTTGAATGCCTCCTGTACCTGGATATTCATATATTCTCCAAGGTTTGGGAAATTTTCTGCTATAATTTCACTAAATAGGTTTTCTGTTCCTTAAACCTACACACTGGCTTCTACCTCTAAACCAATTTGTAGGTTTGGTGTCTTAATTGTGGACCATAAGTCTTGAATAGTCTGTTCATAATTTCTTCTTCTTTTTCTTTATTACTGCCTGAATAGGATAATTCATCAACTTTGTCTTCAAGTCCTGGTATTCTTTCTTCTGCTTGATCTAGTCAATTGGTGAGGCTTTCAATGGAGGTTTTTATTGGACTTATTAAGCTTTTCATTTCTGTGATTTCTGTTTGATTCTTTTTTCAGAATCTCTATGGTATTAACTCTTTTGAATTCTGTATTGTTTTTCTTAGTCCATTATTTATTTATATTCCCCTTGAAGTCATTGATCATTTAAAAAATTACTCTTTTGATTTCTTTGTGTAGCATTTCATCTATTTCAGTACCTTTGGATTCAATTAGTGAAGAGTTATGAACATTGGAAGAGTCATGTTGCTTTCCCCTCACATTTCTTGTGTTTCTACATTGAGATTTGAACATTTGTTGAGATGAATATCTCCTTCACTTTTATATGAGGGTCTTCTTAGTGAGTAGCCTTCTTCTGGGGGCTCCATCTCCAGTACCAGAGAGGAGAAGACAAACTTCACTCACAATGACAACACAAAGATGAACAGATGTAGGAATACAGTAAAAACCACTTAATACCAACAGCTACATCACCAATAACAATAGAAAATGATAAAAAGAATATGGAATAAACTAAAAAATTAAAATTTAATGAAGGTAAAAGTAGTACTGATAAAACAAATTTTTAAAATAGGGGGTAGGGAAAGGGGACAAAGAAAGACGCAGAATTATTTTAAAAAAGGAAAACAAGAAAGAGCAGGAGAAGAATGTGAAAGATTTTGTTTTAAGCCCAATTAAAGAATAAAAGAAACTGGGCATGGTGGTGCAAGCCTGTAATCCCAGCAACTTGAGTGGCTGAAGCAGGAGGATTATAAGTTCGAGGCCAGCCTCACCAATATAGTGAGGCCCTAAGCAACTTAGTGAGACCCTGTCTCAAAAGAAAAAAAAAGTAAATAGAATTAAATAAAAGTAAGAAAAGGAAAATAACAAGGAAAGAAAAACAAGTCCATCTTCTTTGCGGGTCCTGAAATACTGGAATTTACCACATATGGGAACAGGGAGAGTCATAGTTGGGCCTGTTGTGGATTCCCCTTTGCTCCCACAAAACTGGTTGGTATTGTATGTAGGTTGAGCCCTGTCCTGTGTTTTCTGCAGACTGGGCTGGCTAAAGATATGTGGCAAAGCTGTATTCACTCCAGAGGCTTTCTTTATTATATGCTGCTAGCCCCAACAGGTGGGCTACAGGTGCTGCTTGCTCCAGGGGCTCTCCAGTCTGTGGTACCTGGGGTAAATGTCCAAGCCCATGACTTTTCCCTTAAAGCACTGGAGTGGGGGAAATAAACAAACTGTTGAGTTCTGCACTGGAGCAAGGCAGATGAGGGAGGTGCCTTCAGACCAATCCCCTCAGTAAACCATGCACCATGGGTCTCATTCCTCACCACCGAGGTCAGTGCCATCGACCACTGTGCTCCATGCAGTCAGAGCTCCCCGCTGCTTCTCAGTGGGTCTGAAACTGATCCTCCCCTCTCCATGACTGTCTCTTGTGGTCACCTGCCACCCAGTCACTGTGGCTGGGTATCCCTAGGGACTCTGAACTGTGACTGGTCCATGTTTTCTGACCCCAAAAGTACCTCTTCAAAGTTATGTTGATAATATTTCCAAAGTATAAGTCAATGATTTAAGATGTGTGGAAATTGAGACTGGGGTAGAGGTCAATGAGCCAGTCTCAATTGGTGGCACATTAGGAGTTCCTGGGGCTAATAGTGGCAAGTACAGGACCTTCTGATCTCAACAGAGAGTTCTGTACCAAAGATTCATGAACATAGAACATTTATTTATTTAATCTTTATCTTATTTATTTAATCTTTATCTTATTTATTTAATCTTTATCTTATTTATTTATTTATATGTGGTGCTGAAGATTGAACCCAGCACATCCCACGTATTAGGCAAGTGCTCTACCACTGCGCCACAACCCCAGTCCAAACAGAGCATTTAAATCTAAGAAACTTG